ATCACAATGTATTTCTAGCAGCTGACAATCGATGGGCATGTTTCTTTGAAAAGAACGTATTTAATAGCTTCGAGAACATTAAGTTTAATTGTCGTTGGTAGTTTCCATGGATTCTTACCATCTATCTTGTGTTTACCTGGTTCATAAACACCTGTACATACTAAAATTGATTCGCACACCGCTGCACTTAAAAGATCCGAAGGAGGCAACAGACTATAACCAGTAATACTTGTTTTGGAATTCATGGCTTGCTGTAATAAATTATTATACATATTTGCACCAACAATATCAACATCTGGATTATCACCAATGAAATAGACTTTGTCAATTTTTGGTTGACCATTAGCTAATGCAATTTTATTAGCTATTGTTTCGGCATATTGAAATGAAATTTCATATGGTTTACCAACGAATGCTGTATATTTGAGATCGTTTCCACTTATACTCTATAGAAAAATAAAACCTGTTAGAATGTTTATACATGAAACAGAAATGATTTACTTTGTATAATGTTTCTAAACATGTTAGAAAAGCACCATGACCAAAACGTGGTAAATCTGCAGCAGCTTTAAATACTAGATCTCTGTTACAAGCAATTATGGGAATATGATCGTGCTCAATAGTTGAAGCTTCTGGTACAATGGCAGGATTACCATCGGTTAAAAGAAGATCAATAATAACTTGTAACGATCTCTCCCATTGAATAGGTTCACCAAGTAAAACAATAGCTTTAAACAACAAGTAAAAAGTTAAACAATTTGTTGGATGAATAAAAGAAAATATTTACCATCAATAGGACGAAAATTTTCATCATGTACAAGACCTTGAGTACGAATCATTTCACTCTAAAACAAATACACACAAAATAGTAAATGAAATTATTTGGTTCGTTTTTTGCTACTTACTAATCTAGCACGATTCATGTGATCAACCATATCTAATTCTGGAAATGCTTCACAAACTTTTTCAATGGTTGTTATACTTTTAAAACCGATCCTATGAAGATTAAGAACAACTAATGATTAAAGAAATCAATCAAATAAAACATGTACTTACATTCGAGCAATGTATTCGGTTGCACCTTGTCCCGAAACAAGAACATGTTTATTATGGAAATCAGTTAATGTACGCATTGGTGTTTGAGCAAGAACAACTTGTTCAGGATGAATCTGTATTCAAATAAATTGGTTGTGGAGAAAAATGAATAAAAGACATAAGAAAGATCAACACTTACAGTGACTCCAAGTACAGCTGATAATTGTTTCGCTTTATCTGATTCCAGCATACATGTATTTGAAACAAAAACAACAGGCACTTTAAGTTGTATCAATGCTTGAATTGCTGGTTTAGCAACTGCTATGAAGTTCGGACCTTGAGTAATAACACCGTCAATGTCAAAAAAACAGGCAAAGTTCGGCTGTAAGAAAGAAATATATACTAATAAATAAATATATCTATTGAAGTATCTATTTACCGGCTTCATAATAGAGATTCTTATTATCAATAAATATTTGATAGTTTGTTTTTGAAAATATTAATTTGTAATAAGTAACTTTTTTTTGTCTGAGCAAAACTAAACAGCTCGACAGTATTTATATGCGAGTATGGGCATTAGAGAAAAGAAGAGACTCGTGATATTATGTCCAACAGAATAAACTTCGTTCTTTGATTTTTGCGCATGTAGTAGGCTTGTATTGTACTCGCGGAATGATATTTTGCTGTTATTGATATATTGTTTTCTTCCTGTTCGCTACGTAATTCCATAGTGTTAGAAATGATAGGAAAGTGGTAAAGAACGAAGTACATGGTTTTATTTCCTCGCTTCTATTCTGTTCGGAGACAGAGTCAACGATGAAACGAGTACGTTCTTCGTGTTTTTCATCGATACTACGCACGTACATAATATTGTTGATCTGTCTCTATTTACACATAGTACAGACATTCAAAATTCCAAAGATTAATATCCATAATCTCAGCCAAGAGAGAAAATAACAAAATCATACGATAGATCTATTAGTCCCCTTGGATTGATTGTATACGACCATTTTTCTATTCAATGACATGCATATGAATACTTTCAATAATAATGAAATATTTCTTTCCTCTGGATGCACAGTTTTGTTTTTCAGATATGGTCGAATAAAAGAAAAGCATTCATGAAATTTGTATTTGTGTTAAATATATTTTTAACTTAGACACATGATTCATGCAGTACCTAAAATATACAATGTTTTCTTCTAATTGGAAATCTTAATAGTGCACTAATATTTTTTGTTTTGGCAGGTACTGGCTCCATGAGACACTACTGAACTAGTCGATATGTCGATTTCTATTTTATTATTTTTTAAATGCCATTACCATTTCCGACAGAAATCATCCGGCAAACTGTTTGGACGGAGGATGTATTGCCCGAGTGAGAGTATGAAGTGACAAGTGATCACATGTGATAATTTTCGTAACTAGTTTTAACTTTAGGAACTTTTTTTTAGATATGCCATGTTGAATACGTGAGCAGTAAACTTCTAGATTACTTGTAGTCAGATGGAGGTGTGATATGCTATGCTTTGAGAGCCAAGCGACGCTCCTGAAAGAAATCTATTATTTAAAACATCTGCATGAACTAAGTATAAAACAATGTTTCTTGAAAACAATGAATGAATTTTTGCAATCGCTCAGGGTGACAAACGCCCAAACACTGGTTCATTACCAAATAGACATTTCATGCTCGTCATCTATCATTCTCGCTTATCTATTGAAAGAATAAAATATTTAACATATCATTATGTAGATGTTACTATTATACTGCCAATGAAGTGTATGCATATGTGATTGCGCGAAGACGTATTACTATCGAATGATGATTTTTAGTTGCTACGAATTATTTATGAAAAAGGTTTGGAGAAGAATAAAAGTTGTAGCATTAAACTAAATCTTATAGAATCAATATAGTTTTAAAGCAAATAGTTCGATATTATATATTTTCTTCTATACACAGGAATTTATAACGGCAGCCTTTTGATACATGTCTAAAATAAAATGAATCTGAATCCCCATGTAAATAAATTGATTTCAGAAATCGATTTTGACCTCTCTAAAGCTGATTTTTTTCGATATTTTTGTGAAACACGATCTGAAAGGAGTGTTGAAGTATATGGGGTAGAAATTTGAACCCATTCCCTCCCACAGACCGTTACAGAGAAATTAATTAATCAGCTAATTGGTTAATTAATTAATTAACAATTTATTTATTATTATTAAATTTCTCTGTAACGGTCTGTGATGGTTTCTAGAGACTTCATACATCATAATACAGACCGTGACACAGAAGCTGCACAGACCATCAGTGACCGTGATAGACGAATTCCAGAAAAGAAGTTACATCGTGTTTCACTTTTTTAATCCCATAGGGATTGCGCTAACAGCTTTTTGATTAGCTTTCTTCTCTGTATATTCTACTGTTCTAATGCATTCGCTCTCTCTCTCTCTCTCTTTGTTTGTATAATTCACATACGTGTTGGTTCATGCCTACTTCGCAGCTTATCGTTTGTGCTTGCTGTGAATAAACAATTCGTTGTTGCTTCACCTCATTGTTTGCTCTTATGATGAATTCTTCGTTGTTATTATGCACACAGCCCTCCTCAATAGGATGCATGCTTGAGAAACGAAATTAAAACAAAAACAAAAAAAGGAGAAAAACAGGCATA